ATTATTTTCAGAATAAAAAATTATTTAAAAAATATTAAAGTATTAGATTTATCTAAAAATATAATTCAATTTCGAACGTATATTAAAATATTAAATAAACATAAGTACCTATTTAACTGTAAAATAGTAGAGACAATAAAATCATTTTCTAGAGTTTACAGTACAAAAAATTTTTAACCATTTCAATTTAAAATTTCACGTCTTTGTAAAAATTAAAAAAAAAAAATGGCAAACGTTATATAGTTTATGAAATAACAAAAAAGTATAAGGATTTAAGATATTTATCAATTAATCTAAAGTAAATATGCAAATCCCTGAACTGTTGGTACCAAATTATAACGTTATGCAAATAGATTTAATTAGCATTGGCTAGTATTCCAATAACTTTGTTAAAATGTAACTCAATTTACAATTGACGTGATATTTAAATAGATCGAATAGCTGTTATTTTATAAATGTCCAAGACAATGCAATTAAATTAATGCGTATTATAATATATAGTGGGTGAACGATTTAATGATCATTTGTCATCATGAGTATCTTACGTTGCATCTGATTCTATATATAACACACGTTACATGTTTAAAAAAATTTTTTAACAATAAAATGTGCAAGTCTCATATTTGCGAAACATAAGATCTTTTAGAGTATTAATAATTTAGTTTATGTTTGAAAACCCATTTTTTTTTAAATTATGCATATAAAATACCTACATATATTATATGTAGATAAACTATGTAAATTAAATTAATAAATTTGTTTGTTAACAATATGAAAAACAACAGTAACTTTACTATTAACGGAATTTCTCATTTCAGAATTTTTTTTTAAGCAATGTTTTATAGATTAACACATTCCTACAATAATATACAACTACGTTTAACGTCATGTACTAATTATCGGTTACACAAAAACGTATTAACCTGTATGAGATCTATTTTTTCAAATCTATTAAATTTTGACTTGTGTAAACATTATAATAGCTGACGTTTGAGTTTGGATGATGTCCATGATATACAAAATCAATTATAATCGGTGATCACAACAATTAGAGCAGTCTATGGGTTAAAATAATTATTTCTATTAGATACTATTCATCGGATGATTTTTTATAGATTAATACATTAATGAATGAATATTCAAAAATATGAAAACAACAAAATAAAATAAATTATGTCATGGCTATTTATTTTCAAGTTCGAAATGTCGAATCCACACAATAAATTATATTGTTATCGGATTCACGCATATTAATAAAGCCATACTAATGAAAATATGTAATATTTTATAAACAATTACATTGTCTCCTACTCTAATATCTCCCTCTAAACTGTCCGACTGAAATTCTACAGTGATACTCTAAGGTTACTCGGCGTACTATATAACATTTTATAAATCATAGTTAATAATAATTGAATAAATTCTATAAATGTACTTAAATTGTCAAATATATTTTGGTTTTTGTCGTCCTAGAAATTTAGTGTTAATAAACCGTTATTTTTTTCTTGACTGTTCACTGAAGAAAATATAAAAATGAATGGGTAAATATATTAATTGTATTGTAACAATTTATTAAATAATAAGGATCGGCACTTATCACTTCATCTATTGATAATAGTATATATATTTTTGTTTTACAATAAAAATGTTTAATACATTGATTTATATCATCAAAATATATTTTTATCCCCGCTGTTCACATCTTTTATCAACTCATTTTTGTGAATCATTTGTGGGACACCTATTGACGTTTTTTGGTGGATAATGATTAATGACACCAGAACATATTTTTCGCACTCTTGCTATAATACCGTTTTTTATTTATTATTTTTATAAGATCGATATGGTCATTTTTTTTTCCTTTTATTTTTTGTAAAACCTCAAACATAGCGATTCGCATTTATCATAACTTCATGTATAGTACATACAACTGGCAGCTTAAAAGATTTTAACAAACTTATAATAATTAATATGAAATAAATATTAAAATTGTAATGGATGCAATTCTTACAATATTATATACACAAATATTCTTCGTAATATACGAGAAAATATTTTTTTTTCTGATGTTTTGATTTTCTTAAAATATACTTAGGTATAATGTTGTTATTAAACTGTACGTAACTATAGGTACGTATAAAACTTATACTGCATTTTAAATATTTAATTTAATATGTGTATTATAAAATAATTGTTTTCTTTTACTTATACCTCGTAAAAAAAAAAAAAAATGTTTATCTATTTTAACTTCTAATGAGTCAAGGCAGTCAAGTAAAGTCATTACACCTAGGTTTAAATAATTTCATTTATTAGTTTTTTATAAATCACGTGGAAGTCATGGCAAGTGTTAGGCACTGCATAATCAGAATCCAAATCATTAAGCCAAAAACAAAATGGTAATAATTGTATACACTATTAAACTGTAAATTTTAAAAACGGATGTTTTTTGTTAAAAAATCATTCCCAGGATTCACAGATATTAAATAATAAAAAAGATGATTTGCGTAGATAATGTATTTAATTTAACTAAAATACGTTGGTCAAACATATTCCACTGTGTTCTTAAAGACCTCAGTTAATTAACCTCATCTGATTGACATTTCATCAAATCCCCTGATAACTGTTTCATTGAATTCACCAACTATTTACAAAACTATTGACACTGTAAACGTAATCATTATTTGAATCATTGTTCCATTTCAATATTATACAGAAAAGCATAGTATAAAATAAATGTTTCATTTTTATTTTTATTTTTTAACTATAAATACCTATTATAGATTTTAAATACCCCAGTATGAAAAAACTCAATTATATACAATAATAATAATACTAAATTAATTTATAAAAACAATAGAAAAAATATACATTCTACTTGTTATTTTCACTTTATTTATTTAAAAAATATAATAAATACAGTAGTATAGTTATCACTATAACCGGAAATCACTATAACCAGCTACTCAAAAAACTGGTAGAATAAGTAGATAGGTTCCGTTCCTGATCACTATAAGCGGATGATTCTTTTAACCAGTAAACACTATTAGTATGAGACGACCTATAAAAACCTTTCAATTTTTTTTAATTATCCATTAAACTCCATTTATTCTTTGATTGTTTATTTGTATAGTTATGTTTTGGTCAATTTATCTTAAACTTTAATAAAATATATTATATTATTTTATAATATAATATTATCTTTACAGGATGTAAATACGTAATAACGAAAGAAAATTAAAAATGAATTTGTAAGTTAAAAATATAATTAAACATTTTATTTAGTAAATTATATTACCTTATAAAATAAAAATGAAATAAATTACTTATAAAGCTTTTTTTCCTTTTAATAAAATGTTACTTAAGTTACTGATATTATTGCATGTACTGCTTGGAAGGATTTATATGACATATCGTTTAGGATACATGCAATACAAATCAGTAATCATATAGTACATAAATTAAATAATTTTAATAAAATAGCTCTTGGATAATTTTTTTATCAAACATCTCAAAGACACTGATATAAATAACTCAACCTTACAAACATAATTAAAACTTCTGTTGAAAAATCAAAATGTATATATTATGAAAAATGAGATAGTTAATTCAACAAATCATTAAAATTACTTCTAAATGCCAATTTACGCACTGAAATCTTAAGTATATAATATATCAAGTAAGATAATATATTAAATTATATTTACCCCTCCTACTGGCAAAGACAGTTTATAGTTATATGTATATTGTATATATATATATGTATTATAATAACTGGAAGTATTGTTGTTTAAAAAAATAAATCTATGAATCTATAAATCTCATCTCATTGTGTGTATACATAATTCTAGATAATATTATGTAGCCACAAAAAATACTAAATTATATAATTTTATTTATTCTTCTTTTGCAAATTAAAATATGACGTAGCTTAAATATATATATATTTCAGTCACTTATTTTATAGAAATATGTTATTCTCTGTAAATGTATATATATTTTCATATATTTACTGTGAAAATACATCAGTTTTATAGTACCTATACAAGTATAATGAGTATACTGTTGATAATACATTATTGCAGATTTGATTTACTATTCGTTCAAGCACGCAATGTTAATATGTTACTTAATAATAATTACACTTTTGAGTATCAATACTTAATGCGTCATTTAATTCATAAATACTAATAAAAATGTCGTTGAATGTATCAACTTTGAGTTACTGTTTAATATTTTTTTGTTAGGTATAATATGGTATTATAATGGGATAAATTACTATTAAAATATGAACCCATCTATGAATTCTTTTTTTTTTTTTTTATTCTGTTCTTATAATTAATATTAAATGGGTTATACTGTAAAAGCTCTTTTCATTGGAATTAACTTTTTTATAACAGAAATAATGAAGTAGGTATTTTATTTATATATATATGTATATATATAAATACGAGTCTAGATGGGTCAGTTTTTTGATAGTACCACTGATTTTTAAGGCAAAATGAAAATATTAAATTGTAAATAATGAACTATATAAAATAAAATATTTATACAAATAGCTTATACTGTATAGTGTCAAGGTTAGGTTAATAAGATGGTGATTTTTCAATTTTCATTCCATTTTTTTTTTCTGTGTCAAAGTTATTATCCGTAACAAGACAATTCGATCAGTTCAAGGATTTAAAATTAAGTCACAAATAATTCATAAAATGAATTCACAAATTAAAATAATAATAGCTTAATGCAATACATGAATATTCAAAGTTCAAAAATACTTATATTTAGGAGTTATAAATCCAAACAATGACACACTATAATGATGAATAGTACCTATTATAAAGTACCTACAGGAATAGGAGCCATAATCAAATAATTTTTCATTTATTAAAAAACTGCTGATTAATGTAAATATTGTATGCATAATCTATAGCTATTCAGTCATAAACTCATAACTAAAATCTAAATTATCAAATCGATATAATATCTTATTAATAATTATTCACCTGGTAAATGTGATTCATTGAAGTACGTCTTCTCCATGATTGTATTATTTTCGTTTAATCTATAACATATAATCGAATATTATTTAAGAACATTATATAAAAAAAAATATACTTCTAATGATTAATCAAAAGTAAATTGATTAAAATATAAGTATTTAATGTAGGTATAGTGAATATAATATATTAAACAGCGAAAAATATATAACACTATTAGGATTCAATAAATATTATTATCAAGAGGTGAAATATGTGATGTTATTTATTTATTATTTATTTCAAAGACATTGTATATTTCTATAAACAATTATATACGAGTAATGTACTTGACTAATACTGACATTACAAAAAAATAAAAATAATAATAATGCTCATTTCACAATAGAATTCAATGATACTTATGTACAAAATACAACTTTAACATATGATTTTAATATTTTAATCTTTAGTTACAATAGTATGCAAAAAATTCATGGACAATACATATACGAGTAGTTTAATAATCTTTTACTCTTTCCAACCGTAAATTGTAATATTATATAATGATACCACATAAAACAGTTTTTAACCTTCGTAAAAAATGTGTAACCAATAGAATGGTCATAATTACATCAGCTCATAGCCTGCAAGGTTATTATTATTCTCCTAAATGGGTTGAGAGGTCTTATCAAAATAATTCTTTGTTTGAAGGTTTAAAAATAATAACCATAAGACTTATTTTTTTTTCCAAAAAAAAAATATTCTTGTATTTTACTGATGGGTCCAAGTATAATGTATATGGTATATAAAAATATAACCATTGTGAAACAATATACACTAATTTTATAATTTTAGTAACCAGGTGTGTGGATCATCTAAACATGTAGGTATAGTCAATCGTTAACATGCGGTACGTACTACGTATAGTGAGAAATATAAATGTAAATAAATATGTTATACAGAGTGATTCACACTTGGCAAGTGCCTACCTTTCTTAATTTTTTATTACAGTTATTCAATATCTGATTTTTTTAAATAGTAGTATATATTTAATCAAAATTCGAACGAGTAGTATTTGACATAAAAATAGAATGTATTGAAGATAATAGCATTATAATATATTATGAAATTTGTTAAAATGATTTTAAAATTAAAATAATTAACATTTTTGTCAATGAACATTTTATTTTTAATTTAAATGTTGTGCTTTTAAAAACTGTCTGAATATAATAAACACTTGACTCAGTATTACATTTATTTTCTATTTTTTAAAACCGTTTTTGATGACTAATTAATAAATTTAATCAACTATAAAACCACTCGTTAGAAATCGAAATTCGTCATTATCTCTTGAATACCAAAAAAATAAAACAAAAAATGAGTTTTCAATTGGAAAACAGAATTTTGTATCACAACACAAGATATTATTTAAATGGTTCTTAAAATATTAAGCTTTGGTAAAACATTATGATTATAAGTTATCATTAATCAATGATAAATTAAACAGACAACACATTCTTCAACTTTACAAATAGTTTATAATTCTATGTTTTTTGTAGAACTTTTTTGTTTCGTAATGATATTATTTTTCTAATAATTATGATATCATCATTTCTTCTGCCCTATAAAAGTTAATGAAATTATGAGATTGGTAAATTGATAACCAGAATATGATAAATGGATATTGCTTAGTAATCCTCCAGCACTACTGAATTAAAAGGCTTAACTTATACTAAATTGATTGACTAATGAAGATTCGAACTAGACATGAAACAAATGAATTACTAACTTCGTTAATCTGGAAGAAACTGTTAGCTGCAGAAATCTTGGGGGCAAAATTAATGTGGGTCCTTCAGTCCTTGTGTAGAGGAATAAATAATACCATTATGATCGTCAGAGCATAAAACATCATAAAGATTAAAATAATTATAGAAAATAAACATACGATTAGCATGAATGGAAAGAAAGTCATTTACTGCAGTAATAACAATAAATGTGTCATAGAACAAACAAGAAGTGTTAAGACAGAAGTATATACAACCACTAATTATAGATTCTTTGCTCAATACTTATACTACCACTATAAATTAAGTGATCAGGTATGCGAAAAAGGACCCTAACTCATATAAAATAGATTTTAGCACTGTTCCTAACACATCGAAAGATATTTTAATCGCTTTAACTTAATTTATTAACATCAAATATTTATTTTTAAGACACATTTCAAATAAAAGTATGTTTTAATACTATTTTTAAATTTTTATATTTAGTTATAAAGGCTTAAACTATAAAATTATTATATTAGGTATGTTTTACCACTGTATTTTTAATATTTATATTTAGTTATAAAGGCTCAAACTATAAAAATGTTATAACTTGTTGTTTATTATTATATTAGGTATGTTCTACCACTGTTTTTTAAATATTTATATTTAGTTATAAAGGCTTAAACTATTAAAAACCTAATTTTGATTAATATGTTATGTATGTGTTACATTTGTCCACTACTACTGTTACAATTGACCCAGAACCGGGTACAAGTGTTACATTTTTTTTTTTAGATCAGATTTTACAGATTCGCCTATGGAAGTTAATATTCAATTTATACATATTTATTAAGATTATATACAATAGCTACTGAATTATTTTAGTGCAAAATCAATGCTAAAAAGTTTAAATTTTCCTATAAATAAATAATAGTATGGAAAATGTTACAATTTATTGTACCCTGTCTCCCCTATAAATATATAATTTTACATTTATTATATAATTATTTAGCTTTATTCTGAGACTTCAGCAATTTTTGTAAAAATTGAACGATACATAACTAAACATAGGTATTATAATACTATTAATATTGAAAATACATATCATTTAAACATTAAAAATCAAAACTTAGCTCCGAGAGTCCTTAATGCTGCAAATTCTCACCAGCCCACGCTCAACTCCAAAACTCAAAATTACGTAGTTTAGTTTTGGATTTCAGAACCACTCAAATATTTGACGAAAAATTTAATTCGACATTAATCGGACATAGATATGATCGAGATTAACTTCTTTTTTTATTTTTCTTAGACGTATTCTTAGTCAGCCTTCGAAGTTTAGAAATTGTATTTTTAGACAAACCTATAAGTTATAATAACCGATCTGTGACCTTGAGTTGAGTGAATATCACCGCTTTCGTACAAAAAAACCAATACCTAACAAATAAACAATAAAGTGATGACTTCGATGACTCGGTTCCAATACACTCGGTAATCGGTAGCTGACTAAAATACCGATGATTTTAGGACCAGATAATAATTACTTATACGAATATGTAATGTATCAAAGTATGCCAAAGATGCGGAAACCGATAACTAGTGACGGTACAAATAAATGTATAACACACTAAAGTCTAATATTATTTAAAAACGCTATTATTTAATAGAATCACGAACAAATAAGCGAAAACAACAACATTGAACTTTATTCATGGTGAATGGTGAAAGGTTTAGACTATACTGTCTATTTTATATTTATAACATTCAAAAAAAAAAAAAAATAATGAAAAGTAAATTAAAATTCAACATTGTTTTATCAAATACACAGAAGTATTCTTATCTGATGAAAAATAAGAGAAAATATTAATATAAACCACGCCAAAGTCTGAAGATCTAATAGTATCTTCTTAATTTCTAAAAAAGCGTTTTCCAATCAATATTAATTGTTGCTTGTGTTCAACACCATACTTGAAAGAAATACCATAACAGTATATAAAAACACATGTCGAATGCTTAATAGTATAACGGTAACAATAAAGCTTCCGGTACTCGGTAGTCGGTAAAATATTGGTCAATAACTGAGAACCTGATTTTTAAGCCTCGCTAGTGACTTATTAAGGATTCATGTCAAGAATGATTAATTACTCCATTATAAGAATTGCTGAATAAAAAATAAGTAAAAAATTATTAGGTAGAACAACAATAGCAGATGGGATGGTAAACATTGTGGGTCTTTACATTTAATTGTGTACAGCGTGTCAACGAATAGTATATGTGTACAGTGCATGCGTGTTATATAAAATAAATAATAAATAAATTTCCATTGCAGGTTAAAATAATATGGTACAATTTAAAATTAAAATCATTTATACACATTTAAAAAATAAATAAAAAATATATCAACAAGAATGTCTATAAGTATTAATAATGTTGAACTATTGTAGTACCTACCCTAATTCAGTTTATCGTCATGTTTTACACATACGCACCTACTAATTTTATTACCCAAATACCAAATAATAAATAATTGGTAAAATCATACTACTAATTGATATATTAAGTTATTAATGATAATACAATTTTCAAAATTAAATTACAAAATATGAATAGTTTTATATTATTCGTCAAACCATTTTCAATCGATATACATAAGTAGGTATATTTAAATGTAAATATATTTATGCATATTGTATAGTAACTCCTACTTATTGCTAAGTATATAYCTAATAAAAAACTATTGATTTTATAATGACATTTTAACAGTTAAAATTAGTTATGATTCTTGTATAATTATAACGGGCAAATAAGATTTATAAAATTTTCGTTTTTTTTTTTTAGTATTAGAAATGAATAAATGATAGTTTTCTTAAGCCCACGTTTAAAGGATTTAATAATTAATCATATTTTAACTTCCAGCTAATACTTGAACCATACATTATTGTATCCAAAGTATATATCACTTATATACCGTTATGATATTAGTGAACCTACATCTTAAAAAATGCTGATTTTGGTTAAGGGCATAGTAGCTGTCAGTGTATTTTTTAATACAAAACATGTCTTACAGGAAAAATTCTCAATAGAAAAATTATATTTCGTTAATTTCTTTTCTTTTTTTTAAAAAAAAAAGAGAATGTTTTGTAGGTCAGATGTAGCCCGATTTTAAAATTTATAATTATAGAAGCTAAAATATGCATTTGAACAATACACAATATTTGTTCTCTTTCAAAGTTTTTTTCAAGTATTATTTAAAGTAAAATGAAAATTCAAACCACGATCCACATTTTTCAGATAAACAAAATAAATTATCAAACTTTGAC